TTCCCCAGGCCTTATCTTCCATATTATTGCAAGATCGGCCTAATCGCGTCACAAACGAAGGAAGATATATAAAAACAAATGACTTCAAAATTCGCTCAGAATCATCATATAAGCCCTCTCTCTCAGAGAGTGGGCTAAAAATTACACAAAGGGCTCATGGTTTTTGTCAGAATTAGACGATTTTTTGACCCTCCATTTTCATGTTGTTTTATGTTCTGTGGCACATACGGATCATACGAATGTGTTCTGTGGCATCTATGGACTCCATCAATCAGGGACGTAGCCAAGATTTTGAAAGGGGGGTGGGGAGCCGTTATGCGAATTACGTAGGACCCCGGTGGGGTCAAGGGGGCTAATTCCCCTGTGAAGTAGCGCACTCTGAACGTTCTTAGGACTGTTTGAGAGGATAAAGTGAAAATTACAATAGACGCATTATAAATAAGCGCAAAAATAATTATATAATAAATCAACAGTGGCAGATCCAGGAATTCGAAAGAGAGGTGAACCAGGGAGGGACATTCACAGGCTGAGGAACCACTCACCTCAGCCGCACCATGGTTGGGGCTGAGGTAAGAAAATTTATGATTAGGGCATCTATAGACGGCCGGAAATTACACTCTCGCACTTCAATTTGAATATCTTTTTCTTTTTTTTTTCCCCTTAAAAAATGAAGGAGGGGGGGGGGGGGGGGGGGGCATTGAATCCACCTCTGTTCAAAACATTCTTTATCCAGAATAGTCATAATCACGAAAAATGGACATGAACAACCAGATCACATCTTAAAAACAAACAGCAGTCACTAAGACATTCAGGAGCCGACTCGATGGAGTTTAATGTCATACCCAGGGAAGGGCACAGATCTGTTTGACAGGTGGAGGGGGGGGGCATTTTGTGATTCGACACCCACCTCAGCCCCACCAGGGTTGGAGCTGAGGTGAGGAAATTTGAGGAAACAGTACCTCTAGATGGCCAGAAATGACACTTTTAGTAAAATTCACCATCACATCACCATTAGACAAAATGAAGCGCCAACAAATTTCTCATGATCTTCTATCAGGGATCTACTTAATATCCAGGACAACTTAGGCCTAACTATAGCTTACTAAGCTTTAACTATATATACTATATTATGATCAACAAATCACAACTTTTTTTCACATTTAGCACAACTTTCTTCACTTTTTATTGCTATTAATATTATTATCAATTATTACTATCGTCATCATCATCATCATTCTTATTATTATTACTATTAGTAGTAAAAGGATAAAAACGAAATTGAACCACAGTATCGCATTTCTATCTTAAAAGACCTGGCCTGAGATTTGGATTTAAGATTTTTTTAAATCACGCTTAGGCCTATGTATAACGTGTACTGATGCATATTTACATGTTTTAGAAGTATTCATTTTAAGTGATCCTAGGAAAGAATTTGTATTGGCTCAAGAATAAGCTTTAAAATTTTAACACTGTGTACAAAGGGGTGGGGGGGGGGAGCCGCAGCTCCCACGGCCATCAATGGAGGAATCAACAAAAACCAACTAGGTGAAAAATGGCCTAATTTTTGGAATAAGTACAAAAGGTCGAAATTGAACGATCTTTCGACACTCGCATCTTCCAGTTGTTTTCTGTTCTGTGGCACATACGAATACATACGAATGTGTTCTGTTCCACCTACGGACCCTACTAAAGGAAGAATCAACAAAAAATGACTAGATGTGAAATAGCCCAATTTTGCAAAAACAAATAGCTCATGGTCCGTTTTTGTCGAAATGGGACGATTTTTTCTACCCTCTCGTTTCCCGGTAGTTTTGTGTTCTGCTGAGCCTACTGATCATATGAATGTGTTCTTATCAATGGAAGAATCAACAAAAACACTAAGGTGAAAGATAGCTCAAATTTGCAACAAACACAAAGGGTAATAGCTCATGGTTTTTCTCGAAATTGGACAATTTTTTGACCCTCCCATTTTCCAGTTCTTTTGTGTTCTGTGGAGTCTATGGAAATTAATATTACAATGAAGTGGAATTTCGCCAAGAACGAAAAAACCCAATTCGAACATCAGGGGACACGAATAATGGATATCATATTCATAGTCCAAAAGGAAAGGCTTACTTAGTTTCAGAAAACTTGTTGGAAATTAAGCTCATTGTGTGGGGGTAAGTGGGTGACAGGGTTGATATGTAAAGCTTTAACACATAAGAAAGTAGTAGAGTCAAAAATTATTTGTAATTATTAATACAGAAGTTTATTTATCTACTCACGGCACAAGCCAAACACATCAAACATTGCACTTTGATACATCAGAGAACAGCAACTTTTCAAAGTATGAAGTTCTGTTCAAATTATCAAATTTCTTTGACAAACAACTGTTGTATGCCCATATATAGTTATGATGTCCCTATATATGGTCATAATTTGACCATATTTAGGCATGCCATATGTTTTTGTCAAATGAAATTTGATAGTTCTGGACAGGGCTTAAGATCCTATACTCCAAACATGGAAAAATCAAAATATTTGTATTTCATAGTTGTAATAAAAAAAAGTATAAAAGCTGTAAAGTATTGACTAATTAGAAGTGGGTATAATAAAATAATTAGTTATTTCAACATAGCATTACAGTACCCACTGCTAATTTTGGGATCAACACTTTCAACACTAGTCACTAAGCGCAAACTCGGTGGTCTAGTGGTTTTTACACCAGGCTACTGTAGTTATCTGGAGGTCGTGGGTTCGATTCCCACCCAAATCTCTTGGAATTTTTTTTCTGCAAGTATTTGGCTATGTACTGAGTATTCAGTACAATAACAAATCATGTAGGGGAAAATGTCACTACTGTAACATTAGTTACAAAATATCAACTTAATATATTAACTTAATAGAACAAATATTAAAATTATGTCAATCCTGTTAAAAATTTTTTATTGTCTCCTGTATTCACGTTAAATTTTGGAATAAATTATGGTATTTTTTGTCGTACTTAATAAATACATATTGGGAAAATCTTGCCGAGGTCAGGATATGTCCACTCACTGGAGTTAAGTTCAATTGTTGGAGCCTTTAATAATAAACTCGGTGTTCACTTGACGGAAACTGCACTCAGTAAAGGGGGTGGGTGCAGCCATCATGATGTAGCTATATTCTCATCTATTTCCTGATACAGTAATATCATTTTGCCATCTTCTCGCTATGGTCCCATCATAGGATATTGGTCTCATTTTGTAGCTATGGTCCCACATTGTAGCTATGGTACCACCTTGTAGCTATGGTTATAACTTGTAGCCATGATTACATCTTGAACCCATCGATTCATCAGTAATCTTCTTCATCACTGCTATCCTCTGTTTTTGATCTCCTTGCAAATCCAAAGATACTCTTATTTTCTTCTGGTTGTACATCTCCAAGTTGAATAACACCTAAAACAATAGTAATAATAAAAACAGGAATATAATAACTAATACAAACACCACTTTAAAATTATGTAAAACTGTGAACTGCAAACGATTAAATAAGTCCTTAATTTTCAATGAAGCAAAACTATTAAATTGATTAAAATTTTTGGATCGGAAAGGTCAACCAAACCCATCACAAAATCAAATCCGAATTATAATATCAAGTTTGGCCCTATTTACTCTACAGAATCTACATGCCTATTTTGTTCCTTGCAAGGTAAAAATTTGCGATAATCAGTTTAGAATATTTCCAGCATGCAACTGTTAGGCAAGAACTGCAATATTTTTATTTTTTAGGGAAAATACATCATAATAGAAAATAGCATTTACCTGATTTTGCTAATCTTCTTTCAAATTGTTCTGTTGAGAAGCTATCTGTGTTTCCTAACTCCTCAAAACCAATTAACCTACGAACAAAATTCAGACAATGTTAATGATTCTCATACGAGGATGAGGATAGGGATAGGGATAATGATGATGATGATGGTGATAAAGATGGTAATGATTATTACAATGATGATGATGGTGACAATGATGATAACAATGACTATGATGATGATGACAATGATAGGGATGGGGATTACAATGATGATATGGATGATGAAGAGAATGAGGAAGAACTTAAAGAGGATCAATGAAAAGGATGATGTTGATAAGATGAAGATGACAACAAAGACGTTGAAGATTAAGAATAAGATGATAATGAAACAATGATGATTATAAAGATGATTATCATTCATCAAGGCCTGTGCCAAACCCGTAGGCAGTATTCTTAAAGATTTTCAAATATTTAGAGTTTAATAATTTCAACAACTTCCATGCAAATGGTACTTTTTTAAAAGGGCATTTCTGGAAAAGGAGGATATTTTCGAACCCCCCCGGCAACAGACTTGTGTGCGTGCACTGAACCATGAAGATCCTTTGGTTCCCGGTTCAATTCCATCCGCTTTTCTCCTTGTGTTTCAGCTGGAGGGCTGAAATGCAAGTTACGATATCGCACCACCTTTGGAGGACATGTTTATGCTGTTGGTTGTGTGTGCAAATGTGCAAAATTGGCCATGAGCATGTTAAAGCATGCAGTACACTCTTCGGAAAAAAGGAGGATTTTCCCCCCAATGTACAGCCAAATTCACCTCCAATGTACAGCCCAATTCACTACAAGAAGGACCCCACTGAAAACAAGTCTCCAAACTTTGTGTGAATCACACCAAAAATACCCCTATACTATACTATCTTTGGGTGACAAGTGCAAACACCTTTCCTCAAATATCTCTGCTCTTTCACAAGCCAATTGCAATGGCACTTTCCAGTTTGTGACTTACCTGTCAATGACAATTCCATCTCTGAAGCAGATTACTGTAGGCAGCACTTGCACCTTAAGTTTCTTCACAAAGAACAAAGCTTTTTCCGCATCCACTTTGCAAAATTTTGTCTGGAAATGCTTTTGAGATAACGACTACAATAAAAATAATAATTTTAATTGATTAGCTTAATACCAGTTTATTAATCTAAAATGTATGTTCAATTTCTAAGCACAACTTTGCTATAATATGGTCTTTGCTTGGATCAAGTAAGATGAAATTTCAAGCATGAGGACTAAAGTGCCTGCAAGAAAAACACTGTGCAAAAACCTACAAAAACCAGCACAATGATGATGGCTTTTTGGTAGCAGCGAGAACAGCCAATTATAACCTCCGCCAAGGAGGTTATGTATTCACCCACATAGGTTTGTCTGTCTGTTATAGCAAGATTACGCAAAAACTAAGGAATGGACCATCATAAATTTTAATAGTAGAATGGTACATAATAATTTAAGAAAGTGATGATTAAATTTCGGGAAGAAAAGGTCAAAGGACAAGGTAAAGGAAATTGAATTTTTCTCCCTTAAAAATAACAGAAATTTATGAAATCCCACGTACATGGCCTCCAAATTGTTCAATATCCAGGCAGAGAGGGTGGAGGTATGCACTCTAGTGTGATTGCTCTAGTATTAGGTATGAAATAATTCTACTTGGAAGGAGTTACTCCGTATCAAAGATCTTATAATAACAAGGTAGCATTTTGCGTGGTTTGCGAGTGTAACAAATAGAAGCGTCCAATTCACGCAGAAAACAATATAAAATTGAAAGAGGGCGTCCTAGTTGTTACTATGGCGGTTGTTCCAGGATTTGCACCAAGATCATAGATGTCAAAGTTCAAAAGTAATTGTAATTACAAATTGCAATTACACTACGTTATTACAGAATCTGCACGCAGAAATCGCGGAGAACGCTATCTTGTTATAATAAAATCTCCGCTCCATACACAATTTTTAAAAACTTATTAGTAAAATTAATAAATGAATGGTTGATTACATACTTGAAGATGTTTATCGACAATTGCACATCGACGGAAGTCTTGATGGTAGAAGTGAAGTATCACATGCCTTTCATTGGTCGTTACTTCAAGGATGTCTTTCTCTTTTAAAATTTCGCTGAAATGCGACAAAATTGCCTTCTTTAAATATCCAATCAGATTTCATATTTTAAGGCCTTAATGACCAGAACAATAAACTATGTCAACATTTGGAAAATTAGGGCAGCATAGCTTAGTCGGCTGAACTGGTCATAGTTACAGTGTGTGCGCTGAACAGTGGAAATCCTTCAGGATCCGGTTTAATTTCTATGCACTGCTCTCCGTGTGTTTCAGCTAACAAGCTAAAAATGCATGCATTAAAAATCTTTCGGATGAGGTTTAATCCGTTGATCTGTTTGCTCATGTGCAAAAGAACGCTTTTCAGAATAAGTAGGTGATTGTCTCCTGATATACTACCCAATCACAACCAAAAGGACCCACTGGAAATAGTATTCTGACAATGGATTTGGATCTTCTTTTCTCCCCTCACACAATGACACTGGACTATTTTGCCTGACTTACCTATACTTTCCATAGTCTTTCTCTTTGAGGTTCTGGAACTGTTGCATTTGGTCCTTTAATTCCGATAACCTTGCTTCTCGTATATGACTTGGTAGCTCTTCCCTCTCCAAATCCTCTAGTAATTTCTATAAATTTGAAAACACAACTTTAAGAGGTCGTTTAACATTATTAACATTTTCACAAGTGTACAAACAGTTCGCTTGGGGGAGGGGGTAGACGAATTTGTACACTTTTACATATGCATAAAAATGTTGATTCAAAATAACATGCAATATGTAAAATAATGGTAAAACTATAATGCAACCATGGATATAATATTTATTTTTAAGTGACCAAGTACATTGCTTTAGTATACTGTAGTTAACAAAAAATGGAAAAATGCTTTTTCAAAAATTAAACACTTTTTTGTACAATTTCAGAGGGAGGGAGGGGTACCGAAAAAGAGTACTGTTTGTACACTTGTGAAAATGTTGATAATTGTGAAAAACAGTGGGTTTGTGAACGACAACAGACCGAATTAGCGACGAAAGATGACGTCATCACAATTTGGCCGAATGGGTATAAAATTGTAAACAGAGCCTAAAAGTCCTATTCTATAACGTTGCAAGTTTTTGTATGGTCCAGGAAAACAAGCAAAAAAACCAAAGTATGCGGGTAAAATACTTTTTAAAACATTGATAGGTTAAGAAAGGTTCATAGAACTATCAAATGACGTTTGATTTTATTTTCATGCAAAAATTCAGTAAAATATACGCAGAGTTTTTACAGGCTAGGAGGCCTCGGCCCCTGACACTTGTTGCACAACAACGCGACATGGCTGGATGTGATGATTGAGTGAGGCCTGACTGTTAATGTTCAGCTCCGTGCTGTCGTCAAGTCTTTTACTTGTTTAGACATCCAGTCTGCAGTTTATTGGTGTGAATTTAGGAACATTATTCAATAATTTTGAATAACTTAGCTCTCCTTGAAATCTGCAAACTGTACAACACTTTTCATGAGCTTGCAACAAGCACATTCATCGACCGACACCATGATTCACTGTGAGTGAATACACGGCTGCCGTCGTCGTGCTGTAACACAGGCAGATGCGACCAATGTGCATTTTATTCCCAAAATAGTACGATTTATTCTCGTTATATTTCACATTTGGCATACACAATCGTAGAGAAAAGGTGACACATTCATAAACATGTAACAATGGTTTCTGTTAATTTAAATCACACTCAACTTTACACACAAAGCATGTATGAGACGTTTTAGTAAAGGCTATCTTCTTAAATTACTGTGTAAATCGCCTATCTTCGTGCGTTTGTTTTGGTTCGAATACCCACTATAGCTGAACACCGTTGATTGCTAATTCGGTCTGTTGTGCAGTGGGTTTTTTTTATGTGATATTTTGTATAATTTCTGAAAAAGTGCATATTTTTTATTACAAAATACTATTTATAACAATAACTTATATTTCAGTACCAGGCTTTTCTGTTACAGTATATCTTTTATGTGAGAATGAGCTGATTTTTTTTTATAGGTGTAAACAGTGGCAAAACATATTTGTATGCTTGAAAATGGTACTTTTAAGCATAAATTTGATATAATTATGGATTTTTATTCTAGTGGTGAGCATTTTACCCCTCAAAATGCAAGGATAGACAAAAAAATTAAAACAATTTGGCCAGACTTATATTTTTGTTTAAATATATTTTTAAGAAGTCTAGTAAACATTTAAAGAGAAAGTCTATGCTAGGTATTCTATTATTGTAATATTGAAATATTAGCATGCATGAAGAGGACTAAATGAAATGAATATTTTTGAGAATACAGGTGTCAACTGGCCCATTAATAATTGATTGCTCACTGGAAGCACATATGTACACAGTACAGTGTAGTAACAGACTACTGTATATACAAGCTGTTACTAAAATGCTTGCTACTGAGTTTATTTAGGACAGGCTGTGCATATTATATTCTCCAGCTTTCTGTGTTAATTTATTTCTCCTATTAGTTTTCTTTGATTTGATGCCATTTGATGGTTTAAATATCCGTAATTGAATTTGCAATTTTATTATAAAAATATTTCTAATTAAGGGTCATCAAAAACCCTGAAAATATTCAAAACAAACGGCTCTTTTCAGAGCCACCATTAAAGTAAAAAGAGATTTGTTACTTTCTGTCTGCTTATTATTTCTATACTATAAACAATATACAGCAACGTTGATTGAGTCTAATAATAGGCTGTTATAATCTAAAACCATGTGAACTGAGCGGGATGAACAACTACCGATGGTGCTCAAAATAACTGCTTTCCTCCTTAGCTTCGTGTGGAAAACTTGTCTGGTCGAATTTTCCACACAAAGCTTAGTGAGTATAATTTCATTCACGAACGCTAATTGGTTTGATCGATTGATTGGTTTGATGTGGTTTTAGTTTATCTCAGCAGGCCCAATATATATGAATAACATTTAACACCACAGCTCTTGTTTAGAATAGCCATGAATGAAGGGGAATTCCCAAGTTATACCTTTGTTGTAATCTTACAATACTTTCATGTTCTTTAGTAAAATATAAAATAAAAGATAAAAAGTGATGAATTAATACATAGACACATTGTTTTATTTGAACACTTTATTATGACATCGTAAAGTGATGAATAAAAACACTAAACACATGGCTCTATTCGTAGGCCTAGGCTAGGTAACATTGTTCGTTTGTTCACAACATACGTTTAATGAGTGTTACATACGTATTAGGTCAAAGGTTACCACAAATTTAACCCAACCTCAGTTTTACGAATTCCCTGATTTACGTACGCCCTACGGTCCTGTACCACATGTAAAATCAAGGTTCAACTGTATTGGGTCCTTATTAGTGTGAGGTCCCTGGATTAAACATAGTGTAGGTATTCACTACTGGACGATGTTTGCATGAAGACACTTTTTTTTACTGTTCACTATTAAACGTAATTAAATTTGCTACAGTAGTATGTATTTCAATCATTAAATAGATTATTGAATCATTTTGATATCGAGCTAAAAATAAGCCTATTTGTATTCTTTTTACTCTACTCACATCACGACCACAACGTAAAAGCAAGTCTTTTTATTCCACATGCTCTCTGAATCCATACTTTGTAGACACAGTCACTGCGTGGTATTTCATTCAAATTAACTGCCAATGTTGTTTATTGTTACTGTTTGAATAAAACATTCAAAATATTTGTTTTTTGTCTTTATTCATGATTAAATATCTTACAGAAAAAAACATGCATATTCTTTACTTCCTGCTTCAACACAGTTTGTAAAGTGTGGATCACATGCTCTCAACGTGGTCTTTCTTGGATGTTGTTCTCACTCAATCAGGACTCGACTATCGACCCGACTAGAGAATGTTAACGATATTGTTTTTGTTAGGGACGACGTAGGTAAATGTGTTTGAATGAAATCACTAAAATGTTATTGATGATCATACATCAACTATCATACAACAAAAGAATATCGTTTTGATTCTGTGGTAATAGAGTGTTCGTTTCAGCAGGGAGCCTTCATGGATGTTTTGGCGTAGGCCCTGGTACTGTACTGTACTCTGTCAAGTGTGTTCATTCAACTAATGACGTGAGTAAAATGAAAAGAATATAAATATTTCCAGCTCAGAGTATCACTTTTATTTGAAAAGTTAACACAATCATTTAATAATTTATTTAATGATTAAACTATATTGTAGGAAATTAAATTACTTTGAATAAAAACAAAATTATAAATAAATCAGTGCCGTGGTAAGCTTTTGCACCACGGCTTGGGCTGACGCTAATTTTGATTGAGTGAATGATGTAAGTTTATTAAAGTACTGTATGTATGACTGCGCATGTGTTATTTATTTCACATAGGCCTAGGCTGGCCCTAGGCCTAGATATATCGTTTTATTTTACTGATTTGTTTACGGTCACGTACATATATCCCCTTTCTAAAAAGAATTATGATTTATTTACACAAAGTATAATTTACTCAAATTGCTATCTGATCGAACCTGGTCTTCACTGATAATCACACAAATAATGAACACGAAGCAAGGTTAGGCCCTCGGGCATTATTGCCCCTCACACATCAGTTGAGCACAGACGGGCTAGACACAGATTGGCCTAGCCTACGCCTAGTCTACGGCCTAGGCCCTGGCATAAAAAAAAAACATGCGTCACTTTCGAAATAAATCAACACAAAAACTAATGCGGTGGCATACCATACCTCTTCTGCTAATGCTTCATCTTCTAGTATTTCATCGGCTTCTTTGGCTGTAGTTGTCGATCTCACTGATGTTTCCGTCGCCATCTTGAGGAAGGTTTTACACTGTTGTTGTCACGGCTTAATGGGACTACTTATAGACGCAAATGAGCGAATATTAATCTTAAAAGTTACTTGCTTTTTTTTCTGTAAGTCTGTAAATGTTTTGATATTTTACTGGTATTTTTTTTAAGGATGATGTGTGCCAATGTTTAAAAGTTTACATTCAATAAATTCGATATGGATTGACTGACTAGGCGCTAGCCTACTACAAGTACGGTATTATCGCACTATACTCTTGATACTGTACCCACCTAGGCGTAATATTTTATAGAGGGCAGTAATTAATAAAAAAAAAATTCAAGATGGAGTTCTCCATGCGAAGTTTCGCTACATTTTGCTTGCATTTTTTTGTATTTTTGCAATGTGTAAATAGTAAAAAAGTGAGTCGTTATTAATGTTATTCTATTTTGATAAATTAGCAGCTTTTTTAAAACAATTTCATTCTCGATAATCGATCTGGGCTCCGCTAGAGGCCTAGGGCCTAGGCTAGGCCAGGCTTAGGCATGAGCAGGCTGCAGGCCCGAAACATTTCTTTCGCGGGAGGTGAGAGGGCTGAGTTCCTGAACCAGACATAACAGTCCGGCTGCTGGATCATGGCCTAGGATGAGCTTGCTTTAAATTACATCCACGAAGAATAAGATTCATCATCTTACCGTCCCACATTCGTTAATTTGTAACATACCTACCTAGCCTAGGCCTACCTATTCCTAGGTAGGTGCCTCATGAAAAATTATTATTTACTTCCTCTATCTAGGCCGGGTCGTTTCAGTTCAGCCCTGAGTTGATCTGGCCCGGGTCGATTCGGCTGGGTCAGAAGTGACAGATCATTTCAGTCTTGTATTGTTTTATGCATTTTGGTTTCAATTTACTGCCGCAGTATGGAAAGCCAAGTGCCCTCTTGGTTTATTTGTGTTTTGTATTTTCAAAGAGTTTTTAGGGTCGCTGACGTTTAATGTTGTCGGTGACTAGTAATAGAACTTGCAATGTGCTGCAAAGTAACGTTTCCTGAATTGGGCTTTTTTCCCCCTGTATCAGAGTAAAACAAGGTATTTTATCCTATCATATTGACCTTGCTTCTTTCGCCTAACTAAATATTGTTACCTGCTCGGACGTTGTCCATACAACAACTCCCTCGTGGTAATAGTAATCCTGTAGGAGTATTTTCAAACCAAACATGAAGTTACAGTACAGGCATAATCTTGACAAAAACAATCTTTTGCTATCAGCCATACAGAGTTTGTTCAATTTATTAGTTTGGCAGACAATCAGTATATTCTGTGTTCTTTCATCTATCCTATATCTACAAAATACCATGGCTTTAATTTAACGCAGTGATTATTTTTACGAAGAGTCGTGAAAATAGTTCCCAATGCTATTCTTACGACGATCACTAGCACATGCGCGATAGCGTCCCTCATCGCGGGGGAAAATAAACAAGTCTTGAACTGAGTGAACCGCGATGCTAAATCTAGCGTAGGCCCAGAGAAAGGCCACACAGACTTGGTAGATACCAGCCTATGCAGCGGGGTAGCACTAGGAGTGAACTACATGTATACTGTAATTGCATTGGTATCTGCCATTGACATACTAAACATACATTTTTATTAAATTGCTATTATTTTATCTGTACTACAGGCATCTAGACTACTATCTAACTAATTTAATGCAGTATCTTATAATTTTTATAATAAATAATTATTTTTTTATCACTTTTTTAGCCTCTAATTGATGATTCTATTGTTGGTGGTTTAAGTTTACCAATTGAACACAGTTTTGAGTCAGGTATGTACACACTCATATGGAGGCAACTCACAATTTTGTTAATAGTACCAAAGCACAAATTAAATTAAAATGTAATTCATAACCATATGCAAAATCAACCATTGATTTAATCTGTATTTATTTCTTCAGGACCAGATGCAGTATTTCACATGAGAGCCAGTATCCATTTCCGTTCCCCACTTAAGATGGGACCAGGAACAATAATACATACGATCCCACTTACATCAGCAGAGCAAAGCAAACTTAAAGTTAGTAGTTGTCTGAAAATCAAAGACATTCAGTGATTAAGCTTTGTCCTGATTATCAAATTTTCTCTGACAAAAAACTTTTGTATACCCATATATAGTCATGATGTGCCTATTTATGGTCATGATGTGATGTCATCATGACCGTATTTATACATGTCACATGATTTTTTTCAAATAAAATTTGATAGTCTGGACAGGGGCTTAGAATTTTGTCTGTCAGACAACAGATAATGTTTGATCTGACTGATTTTTTTAATCACAATTTGTTTGATCAGATTTATCTGGAATAAGTATACATTATAACACTTGAGTTCAAACATGCAAACAAACTGATAATGTGTGCTTGACTTGTGTCTCTAAAGAAGTTATGCTATTTACATCAGAGAAAAATATTTTTAAGAAATAGGTGTTCTTTTTTTTCTTCAGAGCTTGGCCAAAAAAGGTGGTTTTTATAGAGTGCGAGTACCAACTCAATTAACAGAATCATTTGATGTTGACGACTTTTCTGAGGCTGAAGATTATGTATATACTTTTACAAAAGCAGTAAGTACTGTATATAATATTAAAGATTATAATAAATAATAATAATTCAACTGCAGTTGCCAACAATTACATTTTTATTGCCAATGGCTTCTGTTTCTGAATTTGTATTTTTATATTTTTTTGTATGAATTCTGAATAAATATAACTGAATGAATAAATAATATCAGTAACAATAAATGCTAGTAATAATGATATAACATTAATATTTATGATTAGAAATTGGTTAGCAAATTTAATAATAAATACAGAAGAAATAATAAATTAATAGTAAAATAAATAAATCACTAAAAAAAAAAATTTATTCTTCGAAGTATTGTAGTTAACTTTATATGATTTATATATTTAATATTGTACTTTACTTTTTTTTTATAGAATTTTGCTGTATTTTATTTCACTGATACAAATTTTAATTTTTTTTCTGGACAGTGTTCATTAGTGGAGTCGCACCTCAGGGATGACATCACAATACACGCTGACCAATCAGGGAATGTTTTAAGTGTAATACTGAGTCCAGCACAAGGAACCTGCCACGGACTGCCAGTCACCAGTGACGCTCTTGCTAGCTTCAACTCTACTGTATCATTAACTATTACAGTACCAGGACCTTTGTAAGTATGCATCTGTACTTTTCCCATATATGGGAAAGATGATGTCATATCAATCCCATATATGGCATGATGATATATCTTATCCATATATGGGCAAATACCAATAGAATTGTCACATAAAGCTAGCTTTTCATTTTCTTCAACAGTAACATGCTCTATAAACTGTCTTTTTAAGCAGTGAAGGTGATTTTAGTCACAAAAAAAAAAAAACCCTTGAGTCACAAGATTTGAACCCAGGACCCTGGGGCTGAAAGACATGCACACAGTGTTAGCCTTACTTTATTAACAACATGAGTGAGGGAGTTTCATACACAATAATGAATAACCACCAGTGGTCCTGAGGTGGAAGAACTTGCATCCAAGAGATCTGGTTTAATGAGCTTTCTTAGCTCTAGTTTTATTTTTCTGCACGTGGTAATACCCATCGTCACCGATTTCCGTGAGGCAATTGAAAAATAAACTGTAAAAACGTGCAAATATTATGAAATGGTGAAAGATGGGTCATTTTTTTGGGAGATTCTTGCTTGCTTGCAGGAGTGCATGAGGCTGTCCCAATTTCCGAGAGACTCTCGGAAAGACTTGGACACTTGAACCCCTATTGTAATGACAGCTAAACAAAGTTATTAGCTCCGATAAGGAGCTCTAGAAACACTCGGCTAAATGATTAGATCTTTTTTAGCTCTACTGCCTCTTATACTGCCCTCGTGAGGCTTATTGATTGATAGTTGAACAATTAATAGATCTTTTTTAGATCTACTGCCTCTATTATACGGCTCTTATGAGGAGCTCTAGAAACACTCGGCTGATTTATTAATTAAATAAATTGATTGATTAATAGATCTTTTTTACATCTGCTGCCTCTATTATACTGCCCTCATGAGCCTAATTGATTAATAGTTTGATTAATAGATCTTTTTTAGCTCTACTGCCTCTATTATACTGCCCTCATGAGGAGCTCTAGAAACACTTGCCTGATTAATAGTTAATTAATAGACCTTCTTTAGCTCTACTGCCTCTATTATGCTGCACTCATCAGAGCTTTCAAGATTATGAGAACTTGTTTTTTGTACTAAGTGATCTGTGGGGCTTACATGACCCTACCTTCAGAAGGTAACAAGTACTAGGCTCATGCTTATCTTGAGGATAGACAAGTCGCGGTTATATAATACTGTACATAATAATTCTTATAGTTCATGGTTAGCATGGCCACTCACAAGCACCATGTTTAGGTACATGGACTCATTTTTGTTTGACAATTGTGTATTTGGAGTAATCTGGGGCTTGTTTGTATTTTGTGACAGGCCAGATACACAAGCCTATATACAGAAACTAGAAGATGAGAAGCAACAAAAGGCTAAAGGCGCTGGTGCGGATAACAGGTCATTTTTTGCTAAATATGTAAGTATTTTGGATTATTAGTCAGACTCGGGGGAATATCCAATGGAAGGGGAGGGGGACAGGATCCCTGTTTTGTCACTATATTTAGTAATTTCAATATAATACTAATGCCATGTATGCACACACACCCACCCCCTCTTGTTTGCAAAAGCTGGACTAAATAGATGATAAATGGTAGTGGGGTGGTGGGGGGTGGTGTTTATTGCAACGAGTGGTATCATATTTTGACTATAATAAATTATATAAACTATGACACTTGAGAATGAAATGCTGTGAATAATCAAGAATGCATTTTATTAATATCTGATATGTTTTTGTGCTGGCAGATAATGTTTAACGTTAAATTTTTTTATTACTTTCAGTGGATGTACATCGTACCAATTGTTTTATTTGCTATGCTTTCCGGAGGAGGGGAACAAGGAAGGGCCTAAGATCACCATGAAAACACAATGTTCATTCCATTGAAACTGGTACAAAACTGACTAAGCTGTTGAGGTGCCCTGTGCCCCCACAACATTGTACCAGGCCACAAAGCAAAATCAAAAATGACGAGATGCTCATATGAAGGCAAAATGACAAGCGATACCTGACTGTTCTGTGGCGAAACAACGCAACTTGAAATTTACACTTTTCAAGAAAAATAGAGTTAAAGTTTGCATGTTTGCAACTTGGCAATAAATTTTCGTACTATTCTGGTATTTTGCAGGACTATATATATAGACAATATGATTATGTAAAAATTTAATTACAACCATTGGTTTATTGACGATATTCAAAGATACCTTGTTTTCACTTGGAAACATGTCAGGCATGGTATTGTCGCAACTGCAACCTATTTTTGAATTTATCGCATCTGGGGCAATCATGCATTATCTGTTTGTGCATATATGTCGTCATTAAGATTATTAATATGAAAACACCAGCAACCAGTTGATTTTGCTGTGCCAACCGAGGCAAAACAACGTATTTTCATCGTAGATACGTTGGTTTGCCTAGTAATCTTGCAGTTACGTTGTTTTACCATGGAAAATCACTGGATTTGTGCTTAAAGAAATGAAAGAAATGACTTGCTGTGGAGACCTGAAATTTACACAAGTAAATCAGAAGTGTTTAATATACTCCCAAATGATATCTCAAAATTGACATTAGTTGTTTTGCCTCAGGCATCCGAGATGCTCACATGAAGGCAAAACGACAAGCAATACAACATTTTGCTATTTAAAAATGTTCTAATATTTGTCATGTTGCTCTTCAATGTTTTTCTGACTTATAAATTACACTGTCATTCATTAAATAATGAAAACACTAATAAAAGCAATTAAACCATTGTGTAGCTCATTTTAAATTATTAAATGAGCAATAATAAATAGATTAACACAAATTGTCAATTTCTGGAGTGACTTTCATACTATTTGTACTTAAACTCAGTGCACATCCGAATGGTTAATCTACCCTTTCTATAAATGGAACAGTCCCGCATCTTTTTATCCAATCAAAAGATTGTATTAGGTTGAAGTCCTATCGTTTTCTAGACCCCGTGCAATTGGCAAAAAAAATTGAAAGAAAATGCACGGATGGAAATAAATTTCCATGAGTGACGAAATCGGGTAATTAACTGATGTCACTTGATACAAAATCCACCAATCAAATGACAGGGATCTATAATAGGTTTGTTATAAAACAAAATTATTTTTGTTTATTTATATGTCTGTTGATGCACATTGGTGGATAAAGTGTTTGGTACGAATGCAGGGTCCTGGGTTCAACTCCTAGAATGCCACATGGCCATGCCCTAAATCCAGTAGTAAAAATTTTGTTATTGAGCTTCATGTCGTTTGAAAAGTGTACTTGAAGTATAAAATGCAAAAAGTTGCTATGAAAATATTTGTAGTGTTTAGATCAAGTGAAAATAATTTTCATTACAGTACTTTATTATTATTACTGTATCATTATTATTGTGAATAGTAAAATTTAAAAAAAAATGTAAACTATGTTGTGATGCATTTATTTATCAAGTTTTAAAAAGGGTGTAATGAGTTCTTTTTAGTTCATTGATGTGGAAGTTTTGTAAATAAATTATTGGTGATCATGCCTCGCATTTTGTTAACTGTTGATATCAGATTTGACATAGTAAATTTCAATCATAGAATTATTATCTTAAGAGAACAACTAAATAGAGTGCATACAAAAAAAATTCAACGGTACTACAGACTGAATTCATTCAATTAATATATAATGCTGCCACCCAAAAATTAAAGAAAAACTAGCCCATTCTCATTAAAAAAGACAATAAGAATGGGCTAGTAGTTTTGAATAGCATGTTAATTTGCAAGACATGTTTTTTCTCATTCTTCTTTTCAAATGAATATCTATTAATGAAAGCAATTTTTTTTTTTTTTTTTTTTTAGTTTATAGTAGATTTAGGCAGGAGTGTTGTAGATAACAAATATGTTTTTTAGGTCAGGGGACACCAAACCAGTTTGCCCGCAATGTATGTAACACCTTGAAAATCGGGAAATAAATGTATTGCGTTTGTCGTAGTATTAATTAGCATACTACGTTTATTTTGGTCACATGAAGATTTTTTACTCAACTTTACAGCTTGTTGCTTGTATTTTATGTGCAAGCCTAAAATCTATCACATATTTATCATATCATAATTGTAAGTATTAGGGGCTTTTTTAAAGCCCTTCAATGAATCAAATTAA